AGTGATGGTGTTTCTTGCGGCCCAGAACCTCCTGACATGTTGAAATGATTGCCTCATTGATACCTTACCAGTTGCTCTCCATGGTAGCTCCCTCTCCATTGAGTAGATCATGAAAGGTTTAAAACCTGTTGCTGAGGGCTTTCTTGAGTTTGTTGACTTTGTCAGTATCCCGGAGAAAAGCCGTATTAAACTTTTGTGATGTTGTGCGCCCGTTTTCCAGTGCTTCTAAAATTTATTTTCATCTTGGTGACCAGCAAATGATGATCTGATGCTATATCTGCTTTTCTTCTGGTTCTCACATCCTCCATTGTCCTCCCGAACTTTTTGTTGACGCCGATATGGTCGATTTGGTTCTGTAAATATCAGTTCATCGTATCCAACTATTATTGTCCATGCATTTTCATATCAATTGCGCTTCGTCCTCGTTCTTTCCTTATCGATCTACCGAAATAAATCTAGTACCCGACCTTCGTAATATACTACTTATATGGATATAAGTAACACACACCACAGATATGGTCGATTTGGTTCTGTATAGTATGATCCGGTGAAGTCCATGTGGTTTTGTGGAAATATAGTTCCGCCTATTAACAGTTTGTTGAAGGAATATATAGGTTTGCAAATCTCTCACCATTTTCGTTCCTTTCTCCCAGCCCACGTCGTCCCATGATGTCTTCATATCTAGTGTTGTCCATTCCAACCTTGGCATTCAAATCTCCCATCAGAATGGTCAGGTCCTTGGTTGGGCACTTGTCGACGATCGACTGCAGCCTATCGTAGAATTGATCTTTAGCGTCTTCATCATAGTCGTTGGTAGGCGCATAGCATTGAAAAACGTTCATTATAATGCCCTCTTTCTTTATTTTGAAGGAGGCTTTGACGATCCTTGGTCCATAGGATTCCCATCCTATAAGTGCATTTTGTGCTTGTTTGGACAACATCAATGCAACCCCTTGTATGTGTGTAACATTTTCTTCTTCATAGCCGGAGTATAACGGGAAATCCTCTAAAGCTAGCCGTTGCTGTCCAACCTGCATCCAATATATTTCACTGATCCCAAGCACCTCCAGCTCGTATCTTTTCATTTCTACAGCAATTCGGAAGACTCTTCCGGTCTCCCACATTGTCCGGACGTTCCACGTACCTATAAAAATTGTTGCTCTGTCTGTTAGAAGAGGCATAGGCCTCGTGACTTCCCAAGGAACTCGACTTTCATTATGAGGTGTCATAATTCATCCTTTAAATCCCAGGACAGAGTTTCAATGATTTGGATAATTTTTTCTGGTTAGCGTTTTTCAGCGAAACTCCGCCTGTAGCTCTTCTAGAGTTACTGCCGGTCCCAAACCCGGGTAAAGGAGGAGGGTTGGGCATGGGGTTAGCGACCCCATCCCGTAGAAAAGCCAACTCGCTAAAAAAACGCTAACCAGAAAACATAATTCAAACCATTTAAACTCTTCCCTAGGAGTAGAAGGAATAACTATGACGCCTCATGATGAAAGCCGAAATTCTTCGGAAGTCACGAGACCGATGCACCTCCTAACAACCAGAACAACACTCTTCAAAGGTACATGGAACGTTCGGACAATGTGGGAGACAGGGAAGACCAGTCAAATAGCAATGGAAATGAGGAGATGCAACTTGGCAGTACTCGGAATCAGCGAAACCCATTGTACGCAAGCTGGACAACAAAGGCTAGGTACAGGAGAGATGCTGCTGTACTCCGGTCACGAAGGGAAAATGCTCCACACACTCAGGGAGTTGCTCTAATGCTGTCCAGAGAAGCACGAAATGCACTTGTGGGATGGGAATCTCATGAATCCAGGATAATCAAAGCATCATTCAGAACAAAGAAGCAAGGGATCACAATGAACGACATGGACTAGGAGAGAGAAATGAAAATGAGAGAGACTTGCAAACCTATGTGCATTCAACAAATTGGTTATAGGCGGCACAATATTCCCACACAAGAGCATACACAAAGCTACATGGATATCACGGGACCACACTACGGAGAACCAGATAGATCACATCTGTATCAACACAAAATTCCGAAGATCAATGGAAGATGTGAGAACCCGGAGAGGAGCTGATATAGCTTCAGATCACCACCTGATTGTGGCCAAGATGAGACTGAAGCTAAAGAAACACTGGACAAACAGCACTACAAAAGTTCAATACAGCCTTCCTTTGAGATATTGACAAGCTCCACGAATTCAAGATAACTCTCAACAACAGGTTCTAAGCTTTACAGGATCTACTGAAAGAACAAGAAACTACTTTGGAGGACAACTGGAAAGGGATAAAAGAAGCACTAACTTCAACGTGTCAGGAGGTTCTTGGTCCTAAGAAGCATCATCACAAGGAATGGATCTCTATGGGAACCCTGGACAAAATTCAAGGAAGAACAAGAAACTAACAGTTAACAACAGGCGAACACGAGCAGAGAAAGTCAAAGCACAAGCAGACTACGCAGAAGCAAACAGGGAAGTGAAGAAAAGCATTAAAGCCGACAAACAGAAATACATAGGAGAACAAGCAACGGCGGCAGAAAAAGCTGCAAGAGAAGGGAATATGAAACAACTATATTATACAACGAAGAAATTGGCAGGGAGATATAGCAAACCAGAGAGACCAGTCAAAAAACAAAGAAGGAAAGACAATCACGGAGATTCAAGAACAGAGGAAAAGATGGGCAGAATACTTCGAGGAACTGTTGAATAGACCAGCTCCATTGAATCCACCGAACATTGAAGCAGCCCACACTGACCTTCCTATAGATGTCACTCCACCAACGATCGAAGAAGTCAAGATGGACATCAGATAAATCAAAAGTGGGAAGGCGGCAGGACCTGACAATATACCAGCTGAAGCACTGAAGTCAGACATTGAAATAACTGCAAACATGCTTCACCTTCTATTCAAGAAGATTTGGGAAGAGGAACAAGTGACAACGGACTGGAAAGAAGGATATCTCATCAAGATACCAAAGAAAGGAGATCTGAGTAAATGTGAGAACTACAGAGGCATCAGTTTGTTATCAGTACCAAAAAAAGTTTTCAACAGAGTGCTGCTGAATCGGATGAAAGACGCAATAGACGCCGAACTTCGGGATCAACAGGCTGGATTCCGTAAGGATAGGTCATGCACAGACCAGATTGCGACACTACGGATCATCGTTGAACAATCAGTTGAGTGGAACTCATCACTATACGTTAACTTCATTCATTATGAGAAGGCGTTTGACAGTGTTGATGGGAGAACATTATGGAAAATTCTTCGACATTATGGAGTTCCTCGAAAGATCGTCAACATTATTCAAAACTCATACGATGGATTACAGTGCAAAGTCGTGCATGGAGGACAGCTGACAGATGCATTTCCAGTAAGGACCGGAGTCAGACAAGGCTGTCTACTCTCCCCATTCCTCTTCCTTCTAGTGATTGACTGGATTATGAAGAATTCGACATCTGAAGGGAAATACGGAATACAATGGACTTCTCAGAATCAATTAAATGATTTGGACTTCGCAGATGACCTAGCCCTCCTCTCTCATACACACGAACAAATGCAGATGAAGAAAGCAAATGTAGCAGCAGCCTCCGCATCGATAGGCCTCCACATTCACAAAGGAAAAAGCAAGATTCTCAAATACAACACGGAGAACACCGACCCAGTCAGACTTCATGGCGAAACTCTGGAAGAGGTGGAAACATTCAAGTACCTGGGGAGCATCGTTGATAAACAAGGAGGATCGGATGCAGATGTAAAGGCAAGGATTGGCAAAGCAAGGGCAGCATTTCTACAATTGCAGAACATATGGAACTCAAAACAACTCTCAACCAATTTCAAGGTCAGAATCTTTAATACGAACGTCAAGACAGTCAGTCCTACTGTATGGAGCTGAAACGTGGAGAACTACTACGACCATCATCAGGAAGGTACAAGTATTTATAAATAGTTGTCTACGCAAAATACTCAACATCAATTGGCCGGGTACTATCAGCAACAGCCTTCTGTGGGAAAGGACAAACCAGCTTCCAGCTGAAGAGGAAATAAGGAAAAGACTTTGGAAGTGGATCGGACATACATTGAGGAAATCACCAATGTGCATTACAAGGCAATCCCTAACTTGGAATCCGGAAGGGAAGCGGAAAAGAGGAAGGCCAAAGAACACACTACGCCGGGAAATAGAAGCCGATATGAAAAGGATGAATAGCAACTGGAAAGAACTGGAAAGGAAGGCTCAGGACAGAGTTGGATGGAGAATGCTGGTGAGCGGCCTATGCTCCTCGACGAGGGGTAACAGGCGTAAGTAAGTAAGTAAGTTTTTTGGCGAGTTGGTTTTCTACGGAATGGGTTCTCTAATCCCATGTCCAACCCTCCTCGTTTACCCAAGCTTGGGACAATCAGTAGCCCCCGGAGGAGCTACAAGTGTTAAGTAGGTAGGTAAGTACTCCTGGCTGATGGTGATCGGCCAAACAATCCAAAGATTTGACGTACAAATTCCCTCAGACTACCAAATAAAATGAGGATGATGATGCCATTTTCATCCCAGAAACATAGTTAACTTCAAAAAGATATAGCCAAGTTCAGTTGTGTAATTTCTTACCTTTTACAAACGACAGATTAATTTGAGAAGAAACATACTATCACCCTGTACGTAGAAAACACCACAACCATGCGAGCTATTGAGACAGTGAGGGATAATGATCTAGTTATGGTGCGTGATCGAGCGCTTTGTGTGTATCCATTAACATCAATGAGATCATAAACAATATCGGAGACTTACTGAACTATTAATTTTGGTGAATTTATTTACCACTACAAACCGTTTGGTCTCTAAGTTATTTGACTACAAAATGCATCCGGGTGATGAAAAGGGAATAAAATAGTTTGTGTTTCACATGTGATGTTCCGTGAACTGATTCTAAAGTTGTCTAAACGTTTGCTTTTACATCATGTACGGTGCCATAATTGTACTTTGACTGATCTGATGTCACGCCGGCGCGTAGCGGGTTAACGTTTGTTCATGGCCACCGAGCACCCAGCCAAGGGACGGTTAAGTGTATCGAATACAGTAAGCAAACCTAGTATTTCTTTTGCATCGGTTTACTGTGTTTACAGGAAAAATTGGTAAATTTAAGTCTTCATGATAGCGATCAGTCTACAACCGATTCCCACCTAAAACTAAATGGTTGCCTCGTTATTAAGGACAACCCATGGGTTCGAGGTATGTCTCATATGTATCTATTTAAGTGTGTATCAGCCCCATGTTCATCTGGTGATGGTTCTGACTCGACTACATCCCATGAAGGTGTTTGTAGTAAAGATCAAGATTGGCCAACACTTCAAAGTGCTCTTTCACAAGTTCCACAATGCACCACTGGTACTTTAGATGCATGCTCAAAACAAAAAGATAAAAACAATCAAAAGGTAAGTTTTTTCTGCGAGATTCACCTTTAGCTCACTGCGGTTGGTTCTTGCCAGATACATTTGGGCTCCAAACCCATTACCAATCACCAGAAGAAAAAGTGGGAACAAGCCACTGTTGAGTACATTTTCCCGAAACCTAACAGCACTGACGGATTTGTCGGTTATCGGTCGGATTCGCATCGGTGGAACCGGTCAGGTGAACACGATAAAGAAAATTATAACGGGAAATCAAAGATTGGATCTAATAGTTCTTTCGATAAAGAGTGCTTAAACCCAAGCCAAAATAATCTTGTTCACTCGGGGACAAGACCTCGTCCGTTCGTTCGTCATATGCGGTTCTCGAAATCTGGTCGCCCTCAAGTAAGTTTTCGTAATAATTTCCAAACCATCAATGTAGCAAGGGTAAGCCCCTTTTCCTTCAATATTCATTTCCCTAAACCTAGTTGTTCAGCCGTTTCTTTCCCTGTTTAGTATTAACAAATCTCAATTCCTCATTTAAATTAGCTACTTTGACTTGAATGGGTTATGTCTGTTACCCCTTGTGGGGCAGAATCGGTCGCCCACGAACACTCCATCCAACCGGTCCCGGGAAATCCTTTCAAGTTGCTATTCGTCCCTTTCACATCTGCTTCCGATTCTCGACAGTGTTCCTTGGTCATCATCTTTTCTGTTTTTCAGAGTTTCAGGCTAGCGCTTGCCTCGTGATGCAGTTTGGTAGTTCCTGTAATGTATGTTCTATCCTCCTCCAGTGTCTTTTCCTGATTTTTTTCTTCAGATGGAAGCTGGTTTGTTCTAACGCAGTAGGCTGTTTCTGATGGTATCCGGTCGACGGATCTGGAGTGCCCTGTGTAGAAAATATCTTGTAAATACTTGTACATTTTTGATGATGGTTGTAGTAGTTCTCCAAGTTCCAGCTCCGTACGAACGCTATGGCATTTAGCTCGAAGCAAAACTTAAGTAATTAATCCATCGATAATCTAATGTCTGAGGAGCAGGCGATATTCATCAAAGCAGATGTTGCTTCAAACTCATTCATCCTCTGCCTCCCATACTTCAAAAGTCAGTCTGTCCATATATTTTTCGGTTTTAGATTTTCGCTTTTGAACTATATTCTATATGTTTTTTCCAATGGCCGTTAGTGGTGATAATTTTGTTGACAAATTTCTATGCAAGTTATGGCGATTTAAAGGACTTCGCCTTTACTATTTGTCCAAGGTTAAAACTAGATCAAACTGTAGTAATTTTTGTAATCCATTTTAAATATAGCAGTCCTTGAAACATCTAATGACTTACACAGGATATGAAAGTCTAATTATAGTAATATTGTTGTGTTTAGTCTCCCTCTATTTCAAACCCAGTAGTCCTTATGAACGTAAAGCGATAGTAATAGTTGTGTAATAGACATCAGTTTATCTATTGTCTACATAATTAAAGACAATCATATTAAGAAATTAACTTTCTAAACTGCTCTCTTAATTATAGCGTCGACAGCAAACATCTGGTACCTCTGTAACAGCAGCCAACCGTAGCGTACCTGGCCCCAAAAATTCAGAACAAATGTACTCCCCAACCAATTTATGGGTTCCAAGTGACATCGGTCAAGCTGCAAACTTGGGTCGCATGACAACTCATGGTCGTTCAGCTCCGGGAAAGCTTAACAACGTTCCTCACCTGATTCCTATTCCACTCTATGGGCCAGTCCCTCAGACTTCCCCCTTATCGCCTTCATTTCGTAAGTTTAATAGTTTTCCTATCAATTCATCCACTATCACCCATCTAGTTTTCATGTGATTGTTTGTCTAGGTTTCACAAGTATTAGGGTGATTGTCCTTTGGACTGTTAGATACTGATCGTCATATCATTCTTCACTTCCATGCTTGTCACAATATTACAGTACAATTCTACCCGTTCAGGCACTCGGTTAAGACATCTTGAACGTGTTTATTGACATACTGTCTGTCAGCGCTTCCATATTGCCCACATAGTAAAAATATACTTCCTGAAGGAGCCGCTAACGAGATTAGTTATAGGAGAGCAATACCACTAGAAGTGCAATCCCAAGGTCCGAAAGCGAAATTGTACTGCCGACTAAACAGAGGTGTGACGGCAGTAAGGTGTTTCCTTTAGACAACCAGCATGAAAGCGGTTCTGCCTTCCCACAAGGAGGGGTGGGGTTAGAAAAGGTATTTATTATTTATCTAAACATATTGGTACAAAAGGGCACCAGGTACATATGCGCCACACTATTTGTGTGTGTGGGCTGTGATACTGCCCGGGTGCCCAAACCGAAGCAGGTGGTTTTCTTAGGGGACCACACCCCGAGCCTTTGACCAAAAGGTCTGATCCACAAGGCAGTGGAGCATCGTGAGGAGATGCAGTCCCATGGTAGCCGTTGACCAATGACAGGTTCTTCCGCCATTCGTTCCATCAGGATACTGGAGCCCATGTGCACCATTGGTTTGGAATCAGGGTTTTCCAACTCCCCTAGGTGGACCCTCCGTTTCCACCAACCCGGTTAAAGCGCCGGACATTCGCTTTTCGTCCTCTCAATTTCGTAAACAACAGTTATGCCACGAGAAGGCAGTGAGTAGGACTTCCCTGGCGGAGGCTATATATTCGCTGGCCATGTGAGAGCATTTCGAGAGGGAGAGTAGACTCCCCACTCTCGGCCGTACCAGGGCATTTGGGGGCGGTTAGAAAAGGTCGACCTTTAAAATGCTCACCTTATCCCACGGATTTCCGTCTCCGGCGGTAAGGTCCTTTGAAGAACGGAGCTAACACGTCAAGAATCCCCACAAAAAGGCCATGCGTGACTGGCCACAAGCAGTTGTCCCTTGGGCACTGCGGTCACGCTCTCAGGTCGTTAAAACCAACACTAATCCGCCTTTTTTGAGGTCCCTCAAGAAATACCCTTCCACAGTGTGGGCAGCCGGGAAGTGATATTAGCCCCCGTACCCGTAACAGCACACGAGACCAAGTTGGTCATTTTCAAATCCTTCCTACTCCTAATAACTCTCCTATCTCCACGACTAATTTTTCCCCCGTCCTTTTATCACCTCGCACCGCTAGGACAAACGATTCAAGTACACGGAACGTTATTCCTGGTCTGAAACCACACTCTAAACTACATGTAGGAACTTTTAATGTCCGAACATTGTGCCAAATAGGATAACAGGCTTCCTTAGCTAGGACTCAAGAATCTTACACCATCGATGTGTGCTGCGTCTCCGAAACGCGCATCCAAGATCCGAGTAGTGTCATTTATTTGACCTCACCTAATAAAAATAAAGAACCATCTCGATACACGCTTCGTGTATCTGGAAGCCCTAGTGCTGCTTCCCGTGGCCTCGCTGGAGTAGGTATAGCATTAAGTCCTAGGGCAGAACTAGCTCTTTTAGACTGAATCCCAGTAGACAGTCGTCTATGCGCTGTCCGACTAAACGGATCAGTAAGGACGAGGAAAGATAGGGACACTTGTCGTTGCCTCTTCGTCGTCTCTGCCTACTTTCCCACTGACTACAGCTCAGATGATGTAAAAGATGAGTTTTACAGAAAGCTTTCCGACTTCCAAAAATCTAGGCGCTCTGATGTAGTAATAGTGGCTGGCGACTATAATGCTCAAGTAGGTAAACTAAGTGAAAGGGAAAGACACCTGGGTGGATCTTATTGTGTTGTGGCGAAAAGAACAGATAATGGCGACCATCTATTGCAGCTATGCTCAGATCACCGCCTGTTTCTTGCAAATACTAACTTTAAGCACAAGGAAAAACATCTTTCGACATGGCGACCCCCGGAATTGTCCCAACGTTAGACCCAAATAGATCACATCGCTATCAGCCACCGATGGAGGGGCTCGATAGAAGACTGTCGCTCATTCTGGAGCACATGTTTAGACTCAGATTATGCTCTAGTGCGAGCACCTATCTGTCTGCGTCTTACTAGACGTAGGAAAGACACTGCAGGGAAGCCTGTAAGGGTTCTACTTAATGAAAAGCAAACTAAGAATATATTTCAGGAATAACTAGAAAAACAGTTAGGAAGCCACATGGGCTCCAGTATCCTGATGGAACGAATGGCGGAAGAACCTGTCATTGGTCAACGGCTACCATGGGACTGCATCTCCTCACGATGCTCCACTGCCTTTTGGATCAGACCTTTAGGTCAAAGGCTCGGGGTGTGGTCCCCTAAGAAAACCACCTGCTTCGGTTTGGGCACTCGGGCAGTATCACAGCCTACACACAAATGAATGAAATGATGAACTCTATTGATGATACTATTCCTGCTCATATTAGAAGCAAAACAATTTACATTATTATTATTATTATTATTATTATTATTATTATTATTATTACTTACCATATCGCTAATTCACTCCCTTTTATCTCCAATTTGTGTAACCTTACTTTTCAACTTATGCAGCAGCTCGCTCTTGGTGGAAAATCTGTCCTATCTAAACGATCTCCAGTCACTGTCTGGTTGAAAGTGAATGCTTCCACCGATAATGAATGCTGAAGCAGTCTTTGTGAAACCACGTACGCCGTTCAAGCTGGCTTCCTTCAACGTTCGCACACTAATGCAGATCAGACAACAGATAGGGCTGGCTATGTCTTTGGAAGGTCTTAATGTTGATGTTTGTTGTCTATCCGAGACCCGTATTCAAGACTAGTGAAGTACTACAAATCCGCTCTCCATCTGACGCCTCGAATAGCTTGTTCCACGTGCGCTTATCTGGGGACCCTGTGGCATCTTCGTCTGGTCTTGCTGGCGTTGGTGTCGCACTAAGCTGAGGCAGCACTAAACGATTGGGTCCCCATCAACAGTCGGTTATGTGCTGTTAAATTAGAAAGTTCCATCAAAGTTAGAAGAAACCGGCGTGAGAAACGGTGTCTTTTCGTCATTTCCGCCTATGTCCCGACAGATTGCAGCCCGGATACAATCAAGGATGAGTTTTACCATCAGTTAACAGTTCTTCTCCAGAAAGCGCGTTCGACAGATATTGTAGTACTAGCCGGAGACTTGAATGCACAGGTCGGGCGTCTAGGCACCTATCTGGAGTCTGATCATGCCCTGGTCTGCGCCAATCTCACCTTACTTTTCAGTGGCCGAAGGACTGACCACCACCAATGGATTGATATTAGTAAATTGGCTGCAACTTCTGTTGCAAGTAAGTATCGAGCGGAGCTAGCCTCTAGGCTAGCTACCACCCCACCGAAAAGTATAGGTGAGCATTGGTTGCATCTTCACGACGTCATGAAAATGGCGAGTAAAGCCGCTTGCGGCTTCGCGAAACGTCCCGCTTACAAGCACTGGGTTTCTTCTGGCTCCTTACAACTGATGGAAGCCGGTCGGTCTACTCCGGGTGACTGTGAGTTTGACCACAAACGAAGGCTGTTACGTAATGAAATCGGGCAAAGCTTGCGTAAGGACCGGGAAGCTTGGTGGTCGGAGCGTGCTAATGAGATGGGAGCAGCAGCTGCATCTGATAACTGCCGGAAGCTCTTCCAACTCATCCGAGCCACTAGCAGCAAGAAGTCTGGTGTGAGTGAAACAATCTACGAGGATGACGGAATGCCAATCACTAACATCTGTCGACGTCTTGGACGATGGGCGGAATTTTTCGAAGGGCAGTTCAACTGGCCTGCTGCTCCGGCAACATCAACCAGCTTGTCCTGCCCCCCATGGCCGGTGACGACTGATCCACCAAACGAGGCGGAAGTCCGCAAGGAACTCCAACTCTTGAAACGTTACAAATCACCTGGCCCAGATGACTTACTTCCGGCTCTTTTTAAAGATGGTGGTGGCTTTCTGACTAAGGAATTGACTGTGTTGTTTGGAAAGGTTTGGGAGCAAGAAAGTGTTCCAACATCATGGAATAAGTCAATAGTCGTCCCTATCTTTAGAAAGGGTTCACGTTGTTCCTGTAATAACTATCGGGGGATAAGTCTACTTCCGATTGCGTCCAAACTATTGGATTCTATCATTCTTCGTAGGTTGTTTAAAACCCGAGAACGATTGACTCTCGAGGAGCAGGCTGGTTTTCGTTCTGGTCGAGGATGCATTGATCACATCTTCACCCTCCGCCAAATGTTAGAACACCGTCATACTTATCGCAGGCCAACAATCGTAGTGTTTCTTGGTATCAGGGCTGCCTTCGATTCGTTAGACAGGACTGTTCTCTGGGATTGTCTATTGAAGAAGGGTGTGCCTGAGAAGTTCATTAACATCTTAAAGGCCCTGTATACGAACACCTCAGGCAGAGTGAGGGCATACAACCACCTTTCTTCCTTGTTCCATTCGAGCAGTGGGGTTAGGCAGGGTTGCCCGATCTCACCATTCCTCTTCAACTTTGCCATCGACGACATCCTGGAAACAGCTCTGATGGATGTAAGTAATGGCGGTGTGGATATGTTGACTGGAGAACGACTTCTCGACCTTGAGTATGCGGATGATATTGTCTTACTGTGCGATAATGCCCAAGGCTTGCAATCCGCACTTAATCAGTTGGCAATCAGTGTCCGCAGGTACGGCATGTGCTTTGCACCCTCCAAGTGCAAAGTACTCCTACAAGACTGGCAGGATTCTAATCCTGTACTCACCCTGGATGGTGAGGAGATCGAAGTAGTTGAGAAGTTCGTGTATCTAGGTAGCTATATAAGTGCTGGTGGTGGCGTGAGTGATGAGATTGATGCACGCATAATGAAAGCCAGATCGGCTTATGCCAATCTGGGCCAT